TACATACTCAGAAGAGGAAGAAGAAGGAGAAGAAGAACTCCAACTTGAATGGTTTGGGGAGCTTCAGTCCTGCTGAATTTCAGGTTAAGAGCTTGCTGAACTGACAGCAGTAGACAGAGGACTGACCTGAGAGTTTGCTGAATTTCCTGACTGAATAGAGAATCCAGAACTGGAATGATCACTGCTGGAATAATTACTGCTGGCATTATTATTATTGGAAGACTGATGGTTAGTATTATCACAATTAAGTGCAGGAGAGGCTGTAGTATTTATGCTTGTGGAATCAATTGTATGCTGTGTTTGTATTACAAGAGCAACAGAAGAAGGTTGAGAAGATACATTTGTGAATAAGGTAGTAGCTGAATTCCAAGATGATGCATAAGGGAACAAGTACTCATTGAATATTACATCTTTTGAGACAAAAATTCTGCCATCCTTGTTTTGACAAAGGTAACCCTTATGCCTTGAAGAATAGCCAAGAAAAACACACTCTTGAGATCTATACTCTAGTTTATGTTTGTTATAAGGTTTGAGAAAAGGAAAACAAACACATCCAAACACTTTTAAAAATGTATAATCAGGGACAAGTTTGTAGAGTTTGGTGTAGAGAATTTCAAAATTTAAAGAAGTTGTTGGTAATCTGTTTGGAAGATAAGTGGATGAAGTGAAGGCAGAGTTCCAAAATTTCATAAGAGGCATGAGAAAGTAAGGTGAGACCAGTTTCAACAATATGTCAATGTTTCCTCTCAACAACTCCATTTTGATAATGAGTGTGAGGGCAGGCTAACCTATGTATAATGGCATGAAGATTCACATATTGTGTAAAAGACCGAAACTCCCCTCCCCAATCAGTTTGTATTGCTTTGATAGGAGCTTGAAATTGAGTGGTGTCCATGATATGAAACTGTTTGAATAAAGGAAGTGCATCAGATTTTTGTTTAATAGGATACAACCAGGTATATCTAGTGTGAGCATCAACAAAGGATATGTAATAAGAATTTCCTGAAGTTGATTTTATTGGTGCTGGGCCCCACAAGTCACTGAACATGAAAAGCATTTTGGAGATGTAAGGAAGGTTGTAAGCATATGTTACCAAAACCCGCAACTGATGTGTGTGAGCCATCAGCTACGACTATTGTATAGGTTTCAACAGTAAGGTTATAAGAAAGAAATGAGTCAACACAACAAGCCATATGATCAGTAGCACCAGAATCGATAATCCAAGAATGTTTAAAATCAGTACAAAAAGTAAGAAAAGAATGAGTAGTGGAGCTCATACTAGTCATAGCCAAAGCACTAGTATCAGATGACTTACTCAGAGAATCAAGTATAGTCTGAATCCACTCCAACTCATCTCAGCGAATAGAAGTAAATTCCGAAGATGCAGGTTGGCCTTCATTAGGTGTAGCAGCCACATCAGACGAAACTAAATGAGCTTGACCACGCATACTTGCCATCTTTTCCAAGACATTTTACTTTCCTTGGAGGCGAAAGTATAGATTCTTGATATAACCTCCCCTTCTACAATGGGAACACCAGCTATCATCTTTCTTGGATTTAGAAGATGTACTATCAGCAGATTTGGCGAAGGACCCCCTTGAGAAGAGCCATCCTTTTTTGTTAAGATCATAGCAGACCCATCAATGGGTTTAGAAACAGCAATGGCCTTAGAGGATGATAGCATGACAGACTTATTTGATGTGTTAGGGTGCATCATAACTCCCCAACGAGTCTCCTAACCTGAATAGTATTGAAAACAGCAGAGAAGGATGATAATGTTTCCTTGCGAAGTATCTGAACCCGAATAGGATCATATTCGAAATTCAACTCAGCAAGAAAATAAAAAATACGCTCATTTTCTACCTCCTTGGCTAAGGCATGAGCAACCGCAGTACATTGCATCTTCAAACTTTGAAATTGGTCGAGCTCGATCCATAACTCCTTCATAACACCATAATATGTTGTCACAGATAAAGAGTCTTGTTTAGTAGAAAAAAATTTATTGCGCAATTCATAGCGTGCAGCCATATCTTGTTTCAGAGAGTAGGTTGAGCGGACAGTTTCCCAAATTTTCCTGTAGAAGATAAAAACATACAGTGATGACCCACTTCAAGAGTCATCGAGTTCCATAACTAAGCCATGATAAGGGAGTTCTCATTATCCCAGACAGCAAACTTAGGATCAGTGATGGCACGAGCAAGGCCATCAAGATGAGCAATATTATTGCGACTCTTGATGGTGGTGCGAATAAGCTGAGATAATGATAAGTAATTCAACCCATCAAGCTGATAACTCTGATGTAGAGTAGGAAGATAATTGTGACCAAGCGGGGTACCAACAGGCTGTGTGAGAGGCTGTGTAACAGTCGAACGACCATTAGAATCAGCCATAATGCAAAAAGGGTAAAAAAAAAAAAAAGCAACTTGAGGCACAAAATCACACAGACGAACAACCAAATGATGTCTGACTGGAGAGACAAGCACAAATCTAGATAGAGCAAGAAGGGATGAGCAGAACAACGGTGGGTCGAGGCAAAAACTCGTCGTCACACGTCATCACGTGCCGGTGAGGTTGTTGGCACGTGGGCATCACGCGCAGAGAGAGGGGCGGCACGTGAGAGCGCGTGGATGGTCGGTCGGAGCAGGGCTTTTCACAGCGGGGTTGCTCGGAGGTTGCTACCCTGTCTGTGGCTGATCAGAGTTCAAAAAGCCACCAGAACAGTACTTTCAGGTGAGAACAGTAGTGGGTTGGGCTATTTTGGGCTGATTTGGTCGTTTGTTGATTGGGAAACATCCGTAGAATGGTAGATCTGAGAGAAAAGAGTCAAATAGTGGCCCTCTCGGGCCAAAAAGTCCTCGAAAAATTTTCCAATGGCGGCGAGAGGCAACAAAAAGGGTGCTCTATACACGGCAGTTGCGGAAGCAAAGCCCTTAGAGTCGAGGGCTCTGATACTAGAAAAGAAGGATTATATTATATTGGAATGTGTATTACAATTGTACAAAAGGATCTCTTTTTAAAGAGATTAAATAACCTATTGGGCTAAGCCCAAAAAAGATTCTAGAGAAACCTAGAATAAACTAATAAATAAAATATTATTATTATTTACAAAACAAAGAAATAGCTTTACCAGTGCTCCAAGTTTGCCCTTAAAGACACTTCTGGAAATTGTTACTGACCAAATCAATAAAGAACAAATCAAGAATAAGATGGGAGAAATTATTTCCAATCAAGGCATTCTTTTTTTCGGAAAAAGAATTCTTGATACAAAGGATAATGACGGGGAAATTCGAGAGTCCCTCTCCTCTCCTAAGCTGTACTTCTTTACTGAGATTCTTGCATGTCATCTTTCTGTCCTCTCCCCAATATCTATCTTCTTTTCTACTATTACCATCCTTCACTTGGGGCTCTAACAGAATTGCTGAGTTAGCAACCCATTAACCAAGCCATATTTCTTTTCTCTATTTTTAGTGACATCTTCACCATCTCCGGCAAGGTCACCGTTGGACTCATCAACAACTCCTTCCTAATACTTGTTTTTACCCCATTCAACCATGATCCCTTCAACAATTCCTCGTCTTAGAATCTTAGTGCACCTATGACCTTTTCGAATTCGCTCTAAACACGTGCCACTGTTCCTTCTTGCTTGAGTATAAACAAAGCCTTGTACGGGTTGTCCGAGGCTTCTTGCTGGAAACGACTGAGAATCTCCCTCCAAAATTGGACCCAAGAGGCATTCGGATTATTCACTTCCCATCATTGATACCAATGCAAAGCCTAGTCCTCCAGCACAGCTAATACTGCAGCCAACTTCTCTAACCCAGTCCTGTTAACCACAAAATATCTTTCCACTTTTCTCAGCCAACCAAACACATCTTCTCCGATGAATACAGGTATTTCCAACTATCTCCGGTGTTAGTGGTTGACTTGGTGTGAATGGCGGTGCTGTTCTCTTGCAACCGTTTCTAATCCACCATTATCACTCCTCCCGAGATCTGCTATGACCACTCCTCTCTGTCAAAGCTTGGGCCAACGCATCCAAGCGACATATGATTCCTGCCTGCCCCGTTTCATTAACCTCCAGAAATATAATTACTTCTTCCTGCCTCAAATTACTCCTGCACAACCCCTCTCCTACTGCTTCCAATCTACTTTCCATGCTTCTTGTAGCCACGATTCCCACAGAGCTCCTAGATCGGAGTTCTGATGCCAAATTGTTATAGACCACATCAATAACAAATCAAGAATAAGATGGTAGAAATAATTCCCAATCAAGGCGTTCTTATTTCTGAAAAAAGAATTATTGATACAAAGGATGCTTGTATTACGCTATTGTTACAACACTTAACAAACAGAATACAATAATTTGAGATACAATGATAATGGCAGGGAAATTCGAGAGTTCCTCTACTCTCCTACGTTTTACTTTTTTACTGAGATTCTTGCATGCCCTCTTTCTGTCGCCACCGCTCTATTTATCTTATTTTCGTCTATTACCATCTGTCACTTGGGGCTCTAACAGAATTGCTTAGTCAGCAACCCATGAGTCAATAGTTTGTGTCTCTGCTGGGGCTCACTTCTTTCTCTTCTTGTCTCTTCTGTAAACTTTTATGGGTTGAGCAGCATCAAAGACCATAAAAGTATGAAAGATATCAAACTCAATGTAAAATGGAAACTGAAATAAACTAATAATCTTTCTTCTGGTGGCTCCTGCACCATTTTCCATTTCCACTTGTCTTCAATAAATAATTTTCCCTTCTCTATCTTCTAGACTTTTTTTTTTCTTTCTTCAAATATTTATCAAAATTTTATTTGGTGGTTTGCATTTTCTCTAGTTGACATGAGATTAGTAGTTGTGTCCTATCTGTATGATGAAGCTATTTTTACATGTTCATCTGATTGATAATAATGATAAAATTGCATTTGTGGCTGCTATGTACTTTAATATTAATTAGTGTCTACGTCAATTGTTGTCACCTATTTAATTTTTGCCCCTCACACAGGTTTGGAATCATGACTACTACTGGGAATCCATACAACCAGGAGGGGGTGATATGCCAAAACTAGGTCTCCTTCAACAAATCGAAAAGGATTTTGGATCATTTGCGAATTTTAAAGAGAACTTTATAGAAGCTGCCCTCACATTATTTGGTTCTGGTTGGGTTTGGCTAGTTTGTAAGTCCATTCCTGTGATTCCTCCCCTCTTCCCCAATCCTGCTAAAATAATGTTTGTTATTCAAAATCCATACTATCTTCTTAATATGCCATAAAATCCTTGGAATTCCTTTTTGTGTGCGTGTGTAAATATATGTCCACATGAAAAGCAAATAAAATAAGAACCTTAATTTTGTTTTTCTGGAGTGGTTGTTAAATTCTCTTTGAGAATATTCAACTATTCTAAGTTCGTAGCAGTAACTAGTCTTTCCTCATTAGCTGGTTTAATTCTAGAATATTTGCATTGTAGTAGGGGTAGAACTATGTCGATATATATTATCGTGAAATGTAACCTTATTGTTTGATATTTTGCTATGATAATGCTGGTGACTGTTTGCAATATTCATTGGTTGATTTTTTTAGTGAAGAGAGAAGAGAAACGACTAGCCATAGTCAAAACTTCAAATGCCATTTGCCCAATTGTGTGGAATGACATAGTAAGTTATAATTTAATTTCCCCCTTTCCTCCAAAAATAATTGATTGATTTAATATTGGAAATGGAGTTGATCATCTTTTCTCATGCAGCCAATCATCAATTTGGATTTGTGGGAGGTATGATTGACTCTCTCGCTCTCTCTCTCTCTTCCCTATAGCTCAAAAACAAAACAAGTAGATGCACATGCAAATCACATTGCAAGAAACTTTTCTGTAGTCATCACAAACTGATAATCACTTTCTTTACTTTACTGCAGCATGCATACTATCTGGATTACAAGGTATGTGACCATCATAGATCATCACTTATTTTCCGTGAACATATTAACTTAACAATCTTTGTGCAACTTTTGGGCAGAATGACAGGGCAAAGTATGTGAATGTATTTATGAACCACCTTGTGTCTTGGAATGCTGCCGCCGAACGCTTGACATGGGCAGAGGCCTTTGTGAACTTAGGAGAACCTAAAATTCCTATTGCATGAAATATTGAAATGCTTAACGATTAGTGCTTGAAATGGGCATATGGGTGGAGTTGATATAGAATCAAGGGCTTCACATGGCCAGAAAAAGTGTGTTTCCGTCATTATTTCAGTACAACATTCATAATGCCCCATGTGCTTCTTTCTGGTTGTCTATTTTCGCTATGTTAGTCTAGTATTTAGGACATGTCATATGGAGGATTATAGGAACTTAGAGCAGGAGACTAGGATTTCGATGTATAAAAAAGAGCATGTTCTTTGACTTATGATGGTGTCATTGTATGAAAGTACGAATGTAATTACCATTGTGGGGAGAGGTTATTAAATTTTCAAAACTTTAACCTAATTGTGAATCTGCTTCCACAAAATATATGTTCAACTCCAGTAGTTGTATTATTTCAGACACTTCGCATACTAAAAAGCAACTAGGGGTGTTCGCGGTCTAGATTGGATCGATTTTGGAAGCAAAAATAATCTGATCCAATCTCTTCAGTTTGATCATGTAATTTTTCATTCAATTTTGATTTTTTTTCAAATCCAATTCAATTTTATTCGGTTTAGATTGGATCGGTTTTTGGTTTTTTGAGAAACTTAAAATTTATATGATGATTATTGTGTAAATAACATATCTTTTGTATGTATTGGCTTTGTAAAGTTTGTATGATAATTATTGTGCAATCTAAAAGTATCACTAAACGATAAATCTAATTTTCAATATAGTACAACAAGAAGTTAAAAATGGGTAAACTCGGTTTCAAGTATTTATCACGTGTTGGATAAGAAGGAAAATTAGACAATAACAAAGTAAGGAAAATTAATGTCAATTACTAATGCAGAGAGATCTTAAAACAATTTTTTATTTCAAATTTTGGCATATAAGTTTTATAGTAGTATTATATTTGTAATACTCTGTATGCATCCTGTTATGTTATTATCCATTATGATATTAAGTGCAGTTACAATCACAACAGTTCATTTGAAAATACGGAAAAAAAAAATTAATAACGTTTACAAGAATCTTTACATTTATAAAACATCCTTATAAAATATTTTATCAACTGTGATCGTAACTAAAACACAAATGCAGAAATATAATTTCAAATGCTTAACTATCATATAACACCTATCTAAGGTAATTAAGTGGTTCCTATAAACCAACAAAGCGTAATTACACAATTTGCTACTTTTCTAACTTGAGGTACCTGTGGTTTTATTTAGACTTCATATAATTCACCTTACTAAAAATAATCAACTTTTTATGTGTTCAACTACTAGACTCTTTTAGCTTTCCAACGAGGTATCACACGTTTCAATTGGAGTTCTATAACTCCGGATACGCTCGTCGTAAGTTGATTCCTCAAAATTGTCAACACTCTTAGAATAGAATACCAAACATCCTTCACGATTTTTGTCACTACAGGAGTTCTACTAATCCAATTGCTCTAAAAGTTTTATACAGTATAGTAGACACCTAGATCTTCAATTTGATATATCATAAGCCTAATTTGATTAAAAAATGAGGGAGATACAATTTTTTTAAAGAGAAACACGAGAGTAGTGCAAAAAATGCCAATTTTGGGCAGTCTTCACTCATTTCTACACACAAGGCTTTCTAGAACTCCTAATTACACCAAATTTTAGGAAAGTATATATGACATCCTAATCTTTAAAATAAGGCAGGCCATGCCTCAATTGGACCATTATGGAGAGAGATATGGTCGCCCAAAGTTAGATGTAAATCTGGCCATATCGTTAGAAATTTTGATAGCTTCTCCTTTGTTTTATTAACTAATCTCAATTTATGCAAGTGTGTTCCATTTATCAAAAGGATACCTAATTGACCATAAGGTGGCACACAAGATTTCAACATACCTTGGTGCTCTTACAACCCTCATTACCAATCACATTGCTTATCATTACTTGATATCTAAGGTATTATCCATAGTTACTTACATCACAAGTCATTATCCATTTCATACACTTTGTCCACTTTCATGCATTCAACAACATTATACCATATTAATCTACAATAGGCCTAAAGCCATTCTATCACATACATCAATATTACATACCAATGTCCTCAATATATCTAATTACATTCTATCACTTTACATCAATATTACATCATTATACCAAAATACCAATGATCCATAATAATTAAACTTAGCTCCAAAATAATACATGAACAAACCCTATGCATGGTATACATCAAATCATGCTATGTCAAACGTTCACGCATTAAGTCTAATATATAACTAGTAATCCCAAAATACAAATACTATATGCATAGTGCACTCCAAAATGCTCCCATCCACAACGTTATGTTGGCCTCTTGCCCAATACTCCTACAGCACCACTATGTGTACCTGAAATGTGAATTCCCAAAACGCGGGATGAGATTTAACAAACTCAGTAAACCACGAGTCCTGGAGGATCACTCCACCCAATGACTCACTCAATGTGCATGCAATGATAATAAATCTGAAGAACAACATACATCATGGCCCGAAGCCAACACGTAAATCAGGCCTGAAGCCAATATGTAAATCAGGCCCGAAGCCAATATGTAAGTCAGGCCCGAAGCCAACTATAACTCCCGATATTTCCTAGAGTGCTCCTCAACAGATAACAATTTTAAGGTAGTAAGGTATCAAACCAACTAGAACTCCCTTATGGAGACCTATCCAGTGGAAGTCCCCACAACATCTATCTACTGGCCAGAGATACATGTAAAAATACCACAACATGCAACACACATGTCAATATGCATGAACATACTCTAACATGCATTATCAGAGATCACAAATCCAACAACTACTCTCAAAGGGCATAATAGAGCACACAAGGGGACTAACCCTAGACAAGAAATTTAACTGGTGAAAGGTTCCTCCGATGCCTCACTTCCTTGCTTCGTAAGAAAGCTCACAACCTTTACTTTTTACAAAATAAATGCCTACCACATGTAGCCATTCAACCTTTACAAGGTGCCATATGATAACCCAATTAGCTATCCAATTAAATACATAATAAAGTAAGCCATTACTTACCAAAATCCTTTAGATTAAGGACCAAAGGCAATCCAAGAAAGCTTCCAAGATCAATGCACTATGATTGGATCCGAGGGAGGAAACCTACATTGATCACACACACACGATCATCAATTAACTTGTAATACAAGTTATAATCAACAACATAACATAGCCCACTCAACTCATCCATGCTTTCGGCCTAAACTCCCCAAAAGGCCTACTTTGTCATCACACCATGACATACCATGATTATAATTAACAACCATTTCCTCCCAATTTTAGAAGTAAAGGTCAAGGGACACACAAGGAAGATCCAAGGGATTTTTCTCACTTTCCATGATTCTGGGTACTCATTTAGGTCCATCCCTAATTAATTCAACACTCTCAACATCAACTCATCAAGCCAAAACACAATTTGCACAATCTTTTCCTAATTTAAGGCCTATGGCCAAAGGGTGCATCACCTAAAGCCCAAATGATTTTCACTTAATTGGCATGCATTAGTCTCTCCTCTAACTCTACCATTTATGATTCAAACAATCCACAATCCAATTACATCATTCTTCAATAACTTGTTTTGCAAGTAATCCATGTTGATCCAATCAAAATTTGCCTAATTTATAATTTCCTATGGCCTTAAAATTTTATTTGATTTTTCTTCACAAGAAATTAATCTAAGCAATAATTATCAAACTCACATGGTCATTCAATACTTCTAACTACCATAACCAACTACGCACATGCTTTAGGTCACAAAATTTCGATCCATATTAAGATGAGAAAGCTTTCTACAAACTAACTCCAAGAAGTCTTAGGGTGAGGTTTCAAGTGTACAACCAACCAAAACAAGCTCCAATGGCTCAAATCACCTCAAAACCGTCCAAGAGAGGTGGGGGATAATCTCTTCACACACTTCTCTTCAAGGAAAACCTACAATTTGAAAGTTGTTCACTAGGTGTTTTGGATGAACTTTGATTTTTAAGGTTTTGTGATTTGGTGGCTAGAATTGATGAAACAAAGCAAGCAAAATCCTTGACCTATGTTTAGTGGAGGCCGCGGGTTCAGTTGGACAAAGAAGGAAGAAGGTGAGTTCAAATCAATTGGAACATGCGCTCTAATACGTACTTAAGTGAGGTGGGTCCCATAAGTGTCACCTCTACTTAAACTTAATGATTTACACTATTAATCACCAATTAATTCATGAACCATCCAATTAGTCCAAATTTTAACATTTACCAAAGACCATTAAATTTATTTTAATAGATGAATCTCCATTTTTTCGGTAATTTGGTGAAGTTATGATTTTACCCCTAGTTATGCAATAGCGACATGTTTTCTCAAAAACAATCAAACTTCACCGAATAATTCCAACAATTATTTTTCTTACTTCTAAATACCTCTTTCAACATATATCCAATCCTAAAACAATATTCTCACTTTTGGGTTTCCTGGTAAAATTATACTGCAATATTTGATCTGGTAAGAATCATTATTCATCAAATTTCTCAAAATGTACCTATCTGTTCCAAATTCCATTCTGAATCCATTTCCAGTATTATTATCATCAAATAAGGTCTAATTTTACCATTTCACATATTAGGGTTACATATTTGTCAAATTGATGTTTTATCCTTCGTGTGTATTTTGACCTAAAACTCATGATTTTCACTAAATACACCCTCTAACCCACAATTTAGTTATTAAAATATATTTCAAATATGTGAGGTGTTATAACATTCACGTGAAAATTATAAAATTAAATAAATTCAAATCCTTAATTCAATTCAAATGTTATATTTATGTAGCAAAAAATTCATACTTTTGTAGTATCCAATCAAAAGATTTTAAATCACAATGACAGATAATAACGAAAACTTGTTAGAATGTACCAATAAAAGAACATTTGTGTAAAATGAAGTTAAATTTCTTTCTTTCTTAAAACTTAAAAAGTTAAACAAAAATGCATTAACGACATAGAGAAACTAATATAGCAGCAGAAATGTAGAATTGAAAAAATAACAGTTAAACCATTTGGAACCTTCACCTTCAAGTCTTCAACAAATTGGAAGTTGGAACCCCTTGATTCTGCTAAAGTGATGATGGGGTGGCTAGGTTTTTTCTTGCATATCTGGTTTTGGGCAATGAGATATGAAGCTCTACACACAAATGAAATTTTGCTGATGTGGTGTGGCTAGGTTTTTTTCTTGGGTTTAGCTGATGGGTTAATGAGTCTTGAGTTTAGAATTTTTTGGACTATGATTAGGGAATATGCCCAAGTAGATAGAGAGGAATTAATATATTGGATTGGTTTGTATTGGATCGATTTTCACCAACCAAACTGATCCAATCCAATTAAAATTAGTGATTTTTTGTTTTGATTTTGATTTTTCGATTAATTCGGTTGTCGATTTTTCAGTTCGGTTATCGCGATATGAATCGATTTAGATCGGTTGACGAACACCCCTAAAAGCAACATTATGAGTTGATAAATGATCTATAGTCATCAATTCTAGTATTGGAGAAGGATACATAAAAAATATGATCATAATTGTGGCTGCAATTGCTTTGACCCAGAAGCTTATAGTTTTGTATCTGCCCTTCCCTTTATATTTGAAAAGAAATTTGAGGGTATCTTTTGTAAACATAAATTTGTGATGTCTACCTCAGGGTTCATCATACACAATTACAAATGAGGATCTTGAGAATTCATGCCTCCATATGAATGATATAAATACTAAAATTTGTCTATGATGTTTGATAATGATTCTTTAATTACGGAAGCTCTTCAATAGTAGAAATTTTTTTTTGTCTTGATCCTTTACTTTCTTGTTTTCTCTTTGATAATGATAAGATACAACTCTTATGGGCAGACCGTAAATGTAACATCCCTTTTATACATACTATGGTACAAGTTCGCCTTAAAACAAAATAATAATAGTGGAACACTTAACATGTGTCACCGTAGCTCTCTTGTAACTACATGACTAAATCCTATTCTTTTATGTGCACAAACTGTTTATTTAACACAAAATGTACAATCTCATAACTGCATAGAATTCATACTTAACAAAACGAACAACATAATATCTGTATATTGGACTAACTAGAAACATCAAACCTGGCTATTCAAAAAAAAGAAAAGAAACATCAAACCTGTAATCCAAAAAACATCCAATACACAATAACCGACATCTTAATACTTGTAACTTTAAGTGTCAATTAACCTTAATACAAACCAATAACGCCAAATAATTTAATTACACAAAACAGTCCAAAAAGCTGAATTTCCACAGCATGAACAGTCTGCACTATAAAATCCAAGAAAAATCATTTTTAAATTAAATTTCTTTGAAATTTTTATATGTTAAACTAGACATGTGTGCCTTTAATTTGCAACAAACCCCACTCAATTTGTAGTTCTACAACTCTAGATATAAATTTTTGAAAACAGGGCAGATTTAAGGTCTTTATGTTCAACGAAAATTAAACCATTTTCAATGATTCAAACTTAATCCATTCAATTCCATACTCATCAAATACCACGAATACATAGCAAAACACAACATATACACATGATTTAACATATATAAAGTCATTCCCGATTCACAAATCTTGAATTAAAATCCATGAAATTAAGCTAAAGGAAGTAGTTAGTTACCTTAAACCACTCTTTTGTGCATATTTCCTCAATTTCCCATCAACAAGACATGAAAACACCTCATTTTCCATGGATGGCTATGAGGTCATAAGAAAAAGAGGAGAAAAGATGAACATGTAAAGCTCTTCTCAAGGATTAAAAGTCATGGTTGTGTTCTACTAATTACAAGGATGATTTTCTTTCAAAGTATCTATGAATTTTAGTGACTAGAAAAGCAAGTTCTCAAGCTCTCAAGACTCCCATGGTGGTCAAAGTTTTTCTATCGAAGAAGTGCAGAATTTTTGCTCTTTAAAAGGAGTAAGAACCGACTTGTATAGTGAGAAGAATATATAGTCTACTTTGTTGATTTTTAAAGCTATTTTCTTTTGATTTGGTGGCTTCCTATTGGTCCACTTTCTTACACACTCTCTTTACTCACTTCTCACCACCTATGATTTGAAGACTTCTAAGACAAGGAGAAATCAGATTTTTTATTAACTAACTATACAACAATTTAACTAGTTAGTTTTTACAATAACTTAGTTATCTTTAATTCTATTGGCTAATTAATTCTATAATTTGTAACATTCTTAACAATTAATCTAAACATCATTAGATTAATATAAAGATATCTTGATTCAATGAAATTTATCACACAATTTAATTATGTCATATAATTCAAGATTAAGACTAGTTTTGCTTACTTTTAAGTCACTTTGACTTATCTCCATTCTTATTGGTTGATTTTCTTTAAACTTTGACCCATTTTTAATTATTAATCTAATCATTATTAGATTAATCCAAGATCATATTGAAACAACCAAATTCTCTAAAGAATTTAATGATAACATCTAATTCAAGTTTTGACCACATCTAGTCTACTTTTCAAGTAATTCATAACTTTCTCTATAATGACATATACGTCCTGAATTCTTTTCATACATATATTCATATACTATATGACTTGCTTGGCATGAAACATATCCCTCTGTATCTCATTATCACAGTTTCCTGATCAATGGATCATTACTTTACATAACTGATCACAATTTCTATAAACACCTCTTGCTCTGCTGAACTCTTGCTTAATTTTCTTATTTAACCCAACTTGATAATTAGGGTTGTTATAGTGTTAATGGAATGAAAGTCACTTTGATGGATTGAACTAAAGATGAGAAACTAGTGAGATTTTGGAGTAAAAATGAGTATATGAAAAATGAGGTCGAAACCCATTCATATACGGCTTTTGTGCATGAGTTACTCTACAAGACCTTGTACTAGAGTAACTCATCCATCGTATCTTTCTCAAGTACGAAAATCACATACTCAGTACTTTGGCCAGTCAATAGTCAAATAGATGTTATGTTTTAGTAAAATGTACATTTTTTTAAATAGTATCAAAATAGGGGAAAATTTTTCAATACTATGGATGTGTCGAACTCGACACTCCCTTTTACTAAAAATGGAAAAAAAAAATTCCATTTTAACTAATATTTTCTTTATAATTTCGTTTAAATCCCAAAAAAACTTTTATCTTTTAATAAATATATACCTACAACTAGGGGTGTAAATGGGCTAGACCGGCCTACAGGGGCCTACAACCTAGTCTATATTAAGCCAGACTTGGCCTATTACAAATAGTAAAATAGAACAGGCATAAATTTTTAAAAAATCTATTTAGAAAACAAGCCATATGCTTTTTTGTACATGTTGGACTTACAAGCCTGCAGGTGAGCCTATATCATATTATTTATTTTAAATAAAATAAACCAAATTATGATTTTAATAATTTTAAATAATAAAGTAATATTATTTTAGTTATACTTTTAAGGGAAAAAGTATCTAATGTTACTTTAGACATCTTTGTCTAATGTTCATCAAAACGACGTCGTTTTGGGGTTGAAAAATTAAAAAATTAGAATGATAAAGACTATTATAACCATGAAATAAATTAATATAACAAAAACACCATGATTTCCGTCCCAAAACGACGTCGTTTTGGTGAACATTAGATAAAGTTATCTAAAGTAACTTTAGAAAACACAAACCCAAATGTTTAATATGCTTGAAGAGGCTAACAGGCCTAGGTCAATGCTTTTATTTTTTAAATATTGGTTAGGTCAGACTTATAATTTGGGGCCTACACAGGCTAAAAGGCCAAGTCAAATCCAATATTTTTTACATAGACCTGACCTATTTAAACCAAAGCCTAGCCTAGCCTAACCTAACCTATTTACACCCTACCAACAACATTTATCCGAAAAGTTTTCTCCAAAATGAGAGCATAATGATAATATTTATTCAGAAAAATATTTCTGCAGTTACTGCAGATAAATTATCTGTATTTACTCCCAAAACGATGTCATTTTGGTGTTGAAATATTAAAAAATTATAATTATAAAGACTATTAGAATCCTGAAATAAATTAAAATTATAAAAATATATTGATTTCTGTCCTAAAACAACATCATTTTAGATTCAATGCAGATAACTTATCTACATTTATTACAGAAAAAACGAATCCATATTTATTTAATAAAAACGCCCAACCCACTACACATAGTAAAATGCAACATAGAATAACACTACCGCGGGAGTGAATTCTCTCATATGAAAGAGTGATCATGTGGTTATGTTATTTAATCACAACCACTCATCCTCATTGACGATGAAATAAAGAAAATTATATAATTTTCAAATGAGTAGTTATGATCTGTTTCACGTAATAGGATCCACTCCCGTACCCCCACTCAATGATTTCTCGATCTTTGGAGCCTTGTATCTTCCCGCCTTTACAAGCTTGGAACTTTAGAGCGTATCTATTTATATTTTCTCTAATTTTTCTAGTCGTTAGGAGCAAATTTCGATCCCTAAATTTTCCACTTTCGGTTTCGCATTAGGGTTTCTATATCCCCATTGAAAGAACCATGTCGGGTGAGTTAAGCTGGAGGCACCATGTCATAATTCAAGCTCTGTTATCACGTGGACCGCTCAAGGAGAAGGACTTTCACTCCATGTTCGAGGACCTCACCAAGAAAAACCCAGGTTTTTCTTTTCCCTTTTTCCCTGAAAATATTTTTCGATCTTACTTTCTCGTGAAACGGTTCTATTCTTTGCTCAATTTTTTTTTTACCATTTTTTAATTTTTTATTATTATTATTATTATTATTTTTTTGATAACAATTTTTTATTATTTTAATTTGCAACGAAGTTTGTAGTTTTTGACATCCAAAATTTAAGCTTTTTGTCAGATTGATATCTTTGCGTAAACATGGGTTATGAATGTTCTGATTATACAGTCTAATGTTGTGGCATGATGAGCACTGAGAATGAAATGCGTCATGGTTTTTCATGTGTCCTTGTTAGCTTTTTTTATCATGGCCTTGATTGTATTTGTCTTTCCTGATAAAGGCACCGATCGCCAGCTATTCGATGGATTTGTTCTGAAAATAAACAGGGCGCTTACTTGTATTAATTTTGAGTTGCGTGGCTGCATAGATCAATATGATGGCCAAGTTTATTATGGAGTGGTCAATACTGTTTCGGATGAACAATCCAAGCTGGGTACAAAATATACAGTTCCGCAAATTGCTTTCTATAAGGCCATTGTAAGTCTAGCTGAACTCTGTCTGTGTCTGTGCACATATGTGGAGCACGTACTAGGCTCTACAATTGTTTTGTATAACGCGTTCAGTATTTGTGGTTCTCAGTGTCTATACCCACTTGTGTGTATATATAAAAAAATCATTGGACACAGTGTGTGATTCTTTGAAATGAGACAAATATGTCTTGGTATTTAGGGATGATTTATATGAAAAGATTGAAATTTGATGATGAAAAATATGAATGATTTCGGTCAATAAAATAATTAATGTGAAAAGCATGAAGTTTAGGATGTGGACAGCATTTGTCGAAGATGGAATAGTTGTGTTGTCAGATGTTATATGGCAAAAAGAGTAAATCCCGTTACATCATTCTCAATTCTCATTTATCTTCTTACTTAATCTTAAAATTCAGGGACCTACATACGGATAGATCCAAAGGAGAGAATTAATCATTTAATTGGACTAGGACGTCTCCTTCTGTGTGCGCATAACCATTTGATAGGTAGAAGAGAGATGGGGAAGGGTTTGATTATGCATGTTGCTATATGTGCAGAGTAATATCGTATGTATGTGCAGATAAATAGTTGGATGCGTGATATTATGACATCTGAGACAAGTAGTCTTGTTATGTTCTTTCAATGGAAAACAACAGATTGAAGCATTAATTCAAGATGCCACTGCAAATGGTGTTATTTCCAGCATTGCTGCTCTCAATCTTAATTTGGATAGTCAGGTTATAAATTTTTGCCTGCTTACATTTTTCTGCTCATCAAAAGTTGAATCTATTTTTAATTTACTGGTGTTAGTATGATCAAACATATTAATGTGAATATTCATAATTTACCAATAAATTATATTAGTGAGAATATTTTATTTTTTGGTGGATAGGCGGGCTAAATAGCCCAGATTAGTGATATTATAATTATTTATAGATGCAATCAATTGTAAATTATGCAACTTGTGTTATGATGCCGTCTCTGATTTTTGTCTGTTTGACATTGCTAATTCTCAACTTACTAAACTTGGTATTATAAACTCTGTCTTGCTCTAACTTAAGCAGAGACGCTTTGATCGTAAAGCCTCTCTTCACAGCTCAAGTTTAGAATTTACTCATTCTCTCCCCTCATCTACTAGGACTATGTCATCCGCATAATGCATGCGTCGAGGTACTAGCTGTTAGCTGTGCCTCGTTATAAAAAGGTAGAAAGGTGTGGACTCAAAGTTAACTTGTGCTGCAAACCTATTGTTATCAAAAAATCTTCTATGACATCTCAATCAATTTTATTGAAAAAGGTTTTCAGTATACCAATGTTGAATAATTACATGAGGAATGAGGAGTATTTATACAAGAAAAAATAGCTAAGCATGACTCACCAAACCTAATCACAATCATAAGAATGACTTAGCTATGACTCACTAAACCTAATCACAATTAATTCTAATTAATTACAATTAATCCTAACTAATAGGAAATAAAAAACAATCAATCCTAATTAATCTTAATTATTCCTAATAAATAAAAACGGAAAAATATTTGAATTTGAATTCTGATTTTCTACACTCCCCCTCAAGTTGGGAGGTAAATGTTGATCATTCCCAACTTGCCAATCAAGTCTTCAAAGGCTGGCCGGTGTAGGCCCTTAGTGAGAATATCTGCAATCTGCTCTTTGGTAGGAATATACACCATACATACACTTCCATCATCTATTTTTTCTTTGATAAAGTGGCGATCAACCTCCACATGTTTTGTTCTGTCATGGTGAACTGGATTTTGAGCAATACTAACAGCAGCCTTATTATCACAATACACTCTGACAGGTGGGGAAAAAGAGATCTTCAATTCCTCAAGGAGTCTTCTTAACCAAATTCCTTCACAAATACCATGGGCTAGAGCCCGAAATTCTGCTTCTGCACTGCTCCGGGCAACAACTGTTTGTTTCTTACTTCTCCAGGTCACAAGATTTCCCCAAATATAGGTGCAATATCCTGAAGTGGATCTTCGGTCCAATACAGAGCCAGCCCAATCTGCATCTGTATATATTTCAATCATCCTCTTGTGTCCCCTTTTAAAGAACAATCCTCGACCAGGGTGTTTTTGAGGTACTTCAGAATTCTATAAACTGCACTCAGGTGTTTTTCCTTAGGAGAATGCATGAATTGACTAACCATGCTAACTGCAAATGCAATATCAGGCCGAGTGTGAGATAAGTAGATCAACTTCCCCACCAATCTCTGATACTGCTCTTTGTCAACTTCTTTCCCATCTTCGATTCCCAATTTAATATTGGGTTCAACTGGAGTCTCTGCTGGCTTGCACCCAAGCATTCCTGTTTCTTGTAACAGGTCTAGAATATATTTCTTCTGAGTTAAAGAAATTCCTGCCTTACTTCGAGCAACTTCCATGCCTAGGAAATATTTGAGAGATCCAAGATCCTTCAGTTCAAACTGATTAGCTAAACATTTCTTCAAAGAGCTTATCTCCTCACAATCATTACCTGTGACAATTATGTCATCAACATAAACAATGAGAATAACAATTTTACCACCATTAGAGTGTTTTAAAAATAAAGTTTGATCAGTCTGAGCTTGGAGGAATCCTCTTCCCTTAACAGCTTGAGTAAACTTCTCAAACCACTCTCTAGGAGATTGTTTAAGACCATAGAGAGACTTTTTCAACTTGCATACTGAATCGTCTCCTTTTTCAAAACCAGGTGGTGGATCCATATAAACTTCTTCATGTAGATCACCATTCAAGAAAGCATTCTTTACATCTAATTGTTGCAAGGGCCAACCAAGATTTGCAGCAAGTGATAAAAGAACTCGGATAGTATTAAGCTTGGCAACAGGGGCAAATGTCTCTTGATAGTCTATCCCATGAGTTTGAGTGAATCCCTTAGCAACCAGTCTGGCCTTATACTTGTTGATGTTGTTATCTGCATTAAACTTTATTGTGAACACCCACTTGCAACCTACTGTTTTCTTTCCTCTGGGTAATGCTATAGACTCCCAAGTTCCATTTTTGTTGAGTGCATCCATTTCTTCAAAGACTGCATTCCTCCATTTTGGATCATCAAGTGCTTCTTGGATATTTTTTGGTATTTTTGTATTGTCTAACATAGTGTTGAAAGCACGAAAACCTGGGGACAACTTTTCATATGTGATATGATGAGAAATAGGATGAGCAGTACAAGATCTAGTACCTTTTCGAAGAGCAATAGGCACATCTAGGTTGGCTGTATCAGTGTTGCTGGAACTAAGACTCGAATCAGAATCCTGGCAGTCTAGAGGCTTCTGAGGTGATTCTCGCCTGCTGTAAAACTTTCCTCATTTCCCGGGAGGATCTCCATTATCTGACACATTAACTCCCCCTGTCTTTTGCATAATGACTCCCCCTGTCTCCAACGGCAAAGGCAAAACAACAAAATCATTTGGTTTCCAAGACTTATCTTCATCAACCCCAATAGACTCCCCCTGAAGAGAAGTCGAAGGAAAAAAAGATTGTCTCTCATCAAATGTGACATCCATAAAAACAAAGACCTTACGAAATGAAGATGAGTAACACTTGTAGCCCTTTTGGTTAGGAGGATATCCTACGAAGACACATTTAATGGACTTAGGATCGAGCTTGGACCTTTGATGGGGAGGAACATGTACAAAAGCCACACAGCCAAACAACTTGGGAGGAAGGGAAGAATGAGCCCGGAAAGAAGGAAAGGTGTGGGTAAGACAAGATAAAGGAGATTGAAAATTTAGGACACAAGAAGGCATCCGATTGATGAGGTATCCTGCAGTCAAGACAGCTTCCCCCTACAAATATTTAGGGACATGCATGGTAAACATAAGAGCTCGAGCAACTTCAAGGAGATGTCTATTTTTTCTTTCAGCCATCCCATTTTGTTGAGGGGTGTTAGGACAAGAACTTTGATGAAGAATACTATGCTGGCTGAGATAGTTTCCAAGAACAGAATTAAAATATTCAGTACCATTGTCAGTTCGAAGAATTTGGATAGAGGTCTGGAACTGAGTTTGAACCATAGCATGAAAGTTTTTAAAAATGGATGCAGTGTCAGACTTATCCTTTAGAAGGTATACCCACCATACCCTAGAGTGATCATCTATGAAAGTTATAAACCAACGAGCACCAGAGATATTTTTTTCACGGGCTGGACCCCATATATCAGTATGAATCAAGGTAAATGGAGAAGAATCATGATGGACTCTAGGAGGATAAGAAACACGATAATGTTTTGCAAGCTGACAAATATCACAAGAAAAAGAACTGGGATTTTTATTGATAAATAAGCTTGGGAACAACTTCTGAAGATAAATGAAATTTGAGTGTCCTAACCGACGATGCCACAACAAAACATCATTACAATCATCCGACAAACATACCGAGTGGTTCACAAAAATTTTTCCTGCACAAGAATCTTTTTCTAAATAATAAAGTCCTTCTTCCTCTCTAGCACTGCCAATCATCAGCCCCGAGTCCTGTTCCTGGAAAACACAAGCATTGACAGAAAACTTGGCAACACAATGTAACTCAGACGTAAGTTTGCTGATAGAGATAAGGTTACAAGTAAGAGATGGGACATGAAGGACCGAGTTCAAAGTAATGTGTTCAGAAAGTTTAATGGATCCTTTTCCAGCAATAGTAGAGAAGCTGCCATCTGCTGTTCTTATTCGTGATTGTTGATAGTAAGGGGTATAAGAATAAAATAAGGTTGCATTACTTGTCATATGATCTGAAGCCCCTGAATTAAGAATCCATCGACTACTATTATCAACATGGAACGCTATACCTTGTTGAGCAACATTGCTGGATGGAAATTTACTTTCAATCAACATGGCTGCGTGTGGTAACGCGTAGGGCGGACGCTCCGTCCTTTCTCTAGCGCGTGGTGGGCGTGGCTCAGCAGAATCTGATGGTCCTTCTTGAAACTTGTAGATCGGCTCCTTCTGTTTCGAATGGTGCGGATCTTGGTCGGAAATGTCGTCGGAAAAATTTTCCGACGGTGGCTGACGGCGGTGGAAAGCTGGGATTTTGCCTTCTACAGTGATTGGTAGCCTTACTTTGCTCTTGGGACTTTGTAGGAAGGGAAAATAACCTTAATAATGGTTGGAGGTTGAGTTTTCCGGCGTTGTGCCGCCGATTTGAAGGTGGTTGTGGTGGCTGAGTTTTCTCAGGACCAACCTGCTTTGATAACATATTGAAAAAGGTTTTCAGTATACCGATGTTTAGGGTTGGCAAAACGGGCCAACCCGGCCCAACCCGCATTCAGCCCGAAAAAAATGGGTCGGGTCGGGTTGGCTCGAAAAACAAAACGAGCCAGAAAACCCAACCCGGCTCGACCCGAGCCGGGTTAGGGTTGGCTCGCGGGTTGACTCGATAATCAGCTCGCGGGTTGGCTCGTAAAAAAGCTCACGGGTTGGCTCAAAAAAAGCTCACGAGTTAGCTCGAAATGATGCTAGTGGGTTGGCTCGCGGGTTGGTTAGCTCAAAATATTGGCTCGCGGGTTGGCTCAAGAAATTTAATTTTTGTGGTTTGTTCTCCTGTATAAAATTATTGTATTTTGCAGTCCAACTACAAGTAGAGTAGTTTACAAAATCCAAAAACATTAAATAAAACACAAACCACTCCACGAATCACAGGAGTCATTTATCATGATTTTCTGAATTACTCTAACTCACGATAACCATAAAACGTATGTAAAGCCAAAAAATAAAAAATAA